AATGAATAATAAACTAGCGAGCGGTTGAGATAAAGATGAAGGACACAGCTGCAAGAAGCCTACACAAGTCTAGGGACCGTACTAAGTTTAAAAAACACAGACTGCTCTTTGGGTCATAAAGTTCTTGTGAGTGAAGGGATATGTCTAGCGCCGATTAGTAACTGTGTGCTTGATTTTTTTTTAAAGATGATGTAATTGAATTATTGCCAAGCTCTTGTTGTTCCCTGTATGAGTTGATAGTTTTCTTTTCTGTATATAAACTACTGATTTACAGAAGTAAAGTTGCAGCAGATTCAAACCACTTTTGAGTGTGTTGTCTGTCTGTCAGTCGCCGAATCCTTGCCTTCCTGACTACCCAAGCCCTGATTCTCCTACGGTCGTGGTACTCCCGGTGGGCCAGTCCATGGCAGTGTCTTATCATTGCAACAGAAAAGTAACTACGAAGACAGACAATTTGGCTTTTGTTTCTTGCCAGAATTATTTGATCCTGAAAGTCCCTTTTTTTAATTGAATTCAATGCTTTTTATTTTTATTTGACATTGAACAGACAAGGTTAACACACCCAGATAGCCCAGTTAGTTTTGCTCACACTAGTCTCACTGGGGACAAGACCCTAAAAACACATCTTCAAGATGCACTGTGTCTGGTTCTGGACTCAGAGCCTCTCCTTGTTAAACCAGTTAGAGATGACACTAGGCCTTTGCCCTCCCCATGAGGAGGCAGGAAAGGAAAGAAATAGCATGCTTTGTACCACTTGACAATGTTGTGAGGGGTCTCCAGGACTGATGGCCTCCACAGCAACCCCCACTTCCCAGACAACTGCTGGTACAGATTGTGCACCTAGTCATCCCATTCTGTTTGGTAAGACGTGCCAGGCACAGGGGCTCCCAGGGGGTTCTTCCTGTGGAAGACTGCCACCTTGAACTTGCCACTGTGATCTTCAGACCTGTTGCTGAAGATGGGTTTGTCACTCTCTCATGGGTTTTCCTGTTTTGTACACCAACCAGATGTAGCAGCGGAGGCCAGTGTCACTGGTGGGGCCCAGAGCCCACATAATCAGAAAGGACCATGCCACTGCTGATGTCATTGCCTTTCATATTGACCACCAGAAAACTCCCTGTATTTGGGGTCCTTCCTCCTGGGACCCTCTGGGTCTGTGAGGACTAAGGTGTCGAGTTTCCCTGGGTCAAGGTCATCCCATGAAATGTGCTTGGCCTAGGTGGGTGGGCATCAGCACTTTGCCTAGCTCATCCACCTCCACTTGGTGCTGGGGCCACTCATCTACCAGTTTCAGCAGCTCTGCCCACTGGCTGATGTTGGTTAGCCTGACGGTGACGGTGGCTGAAGCAAAGGCACACACTGGTCCTGAAAGTCATGTGAGGAGCCGTGGTGAGACGCCATGTCAGGTGTATGCCACATCCTTTTCAAATAATACTCTATTTATTCTTTCAGAATTTCATTCATGTATTTTGGTCATATCGTCTCCTCCAGAATTTTTCTTGAAGATATGAATGAATTAATATTTTTGGAAGAAAACAAAATGAAGAGGTGAAGTGTTTTGCTTGAAATCACGCAACTGGTTGATGACAGGACTTCTGGAATCCAGGTCTTCAGGCATACAAGCCAGCACTATTTGTACATCCATAGACATTAATGGCAATGGTGGGAACAGCAGCAGCCCGTCCTAGATACCCTGACCATCTGATGGGCACTGGGGAAGGAGCTGGGCAGTGAAGAGACTAGAGGTCCTAGCACCTTGTCCCTTACTGACACATGCCCTCCCTATTGTCTAAGACAGTCATTTTTGTGCCTGGTGACCCAGCCAAGGGTCAGCTCCCCAGGGTGCTTGGTTCCAGTCTTGTACTCAGAGGAGGGAGACTGCGCCTTCTGGACAGCTCAGGGAAAAACTGGACCCTCTGCCCCAGAGTCCAAACAAGGGAAAGATCTCCCGAGTGAAGGAGGCGGTGAAGGTGTAGATATGTTCCTGGGTGACAGCATTGGCAAAGGTCACCCAGCCTACCTCATAGTCAAGCGATACCTGCACCTTCCGGGGCTGCTCCTCTAGGGCCAGCCTTGTGGGGAAGGAGCCCAGGGCAGAGACAAAGCCCCACGCCAGTCTCACGGCCCAGATTCCTTCCTCCGGTCTCAGCCGCAGCTCTCCTTTCCGCCGCACGTCCTCTCTCACCACCCCTACAGTGCAGCTGCCCCCGTGGGCCAAGTCCACAGTCACCACCCACGTGTGCCTCCCTCCTGTAAAGCCACGCTGGGCCAGGACACAGGTGGCCCGATCGAAACGCTGCGGACTGTCCGGTGAGTTCTGCCATTTGTACGAGAACCGAGCCCTCTGGTGATCGTCGGACAGGAGGAGCTTGGGGTGGGAAGTCTGGGGGTCTAGAGCAACTTGGGCTGTGGAGCAAACAAGGAACGAGTATGTCAGCGGATGTGTTATGTCTTGCTGGGATGGCCTAAAAGCTTCCTTCCACCCCTGCCTGGTCGCGTT